TTTGATTTGATTAGCCATGCCTCATATCCCTCCATTTCACTTCCTGTTTCAAAAGTGCTGATTTGGGGTATAAAGCTTTAAAAAAAAAACAACGAAATATAACGTAACCGTAACGCCATATCATGGATTATTATGGATTATCTCTGAAACAGTATGGAGCTCAAAGGCTTTCTCTCTTGCCGGTTATACCACAAGGTGAGTTCCTTTTTATTTCCTGCTTCTTCACACACATGCTCTCCAGTACAGGTTAGCTCTGAGTGTTAGCGATGCTAATGTGAACACCGACCATATTACGTCCAGAACAGTCGGGCATTGTTTCTGATAGCAACGTTTCTGATTGGGCCGTGGGTCCACATTTCAGATATTACGTCATATCGGACGCAAATCTGGATCAGCTCCGTTGTTCCCCCGTTTTTAGAGATTTGGGTACGGAGGAAAAGAGAGAGGGTTTTATTTTCTGACGCTGCGTGAGTTCCCTGACACACCGGGGACACATGTTGATGTATAAAAGACATAAAAAAGTGCATTTTGCATGATAGGTCCCCTTTAAGGAAATGTGACATCATTATTGATATTAATAGATTCATTGGTCGTTCTTAAAAAGCTTATTTTTCCTATTTATCCTTAAATAAACTATAAGAAATGTGCTGGTATGTGGAGCTGTCACTATTCCACAGCTTTCTTTCTGACTTGACTCAATAAAACAGATATAGACTTGTTAATGGAGATCATAAACCCTACAGTAGGCCTACGTGAAGAAACACAGTCAAACCAAATGAAAGTGCAAGGCAACACATTTTATTTCAAAGGCCTAATTGGCGTTAAGGTACAGCATATTAAATATTGTTAGTCCAGAGACGGTCATCGCAGAATAACATACCATTCCTTCGTTTACATGATACATTCAGGCTGACTTGATATTTTACATATTGTTAATGTGGCGCTAACATAAGAAGGCTCAGTCTAACTGAAGGTCTGGTGTTTCCTGCAGGTACTTCCTGCCGCTGAACAGCTGAGGTTCTACCTGTCAGACAAACTGAGAGTCCTTTCATCTCCCTCACTTTCTCCAATTAAGACACTTCGTCACTGTTCGTTTGATTTCCTGTGGTTACTGATTGAGTAGCTTCTTTGTTAGTGTTGTGACAGTTCCTCGAGGAGCTGAATAATGTATTTTACATCCCTGCACATAATGGTATATTTCAATAAATATAATAAATAAAAAGTACAAATATCTGAATATTATGGAACCAGATCGTTATCAAAGACATGTTTTCCGTCAGTAATACAACCCAACAGTGGATGGACACTTGGTAAAAGCAAGAGCAAATGAAATAACTTTGTCTCGTACAAAAACAATATTACTGTCATGATGAGCTGTAGACAGGAAACAAAAGGTGAGTCCGTACATTCCGCTGCTCCTCGCTCACAGAGTCTTTATTCAGTCTGCAGACTTTAAGTCTTAGCGCTCTGACAAAGTGATAGCGTGGCATGTGGAAGAGTTTCACTTTGACACACTCCTCCTCCTCCTCCTCCTCCTCCTCCTCCTCTCTTCACTGTGCTGCAGTCCAGCTGTGTCCTTCAGTAATTCACTTTCCCAGGAACCTGCACATTCACGCCGCTGTAGTCCACCATGTACATGGGCCACTGCTGCAGAGAGAGATAATAACAGAGCAAAGTCAGGCGTGATGGTGGAGAACATCTCTCATTAGTACAAATAGGGGTTTTGACCTTTGACCTTGCCTCAAGCATGGCAGTATGATATTCACTTAGAGTAGATTTTGCTTCTAGAAGTGAAATAAGACAGTTTAGCTATGATTATACTTGACAATGACTTTCACGACTCCTGTAGCACTCGGCTATAAGCCCGCTGGTTCTTACTGAAAGGCACATGTCTAATGGTACTAATAGTTTGTACAATAAATACACTATGGTGTTTGACAATAACAAGAATATAGAATATCACAGAACTTAATGAACCCTAAGGTAAGATTTGAAAAGACTCCTGCAAAATGGATTGCAGGAGAAAATACGTATCAAGTATCATATTACATTGTCTTTATAAATAATGAGTTCAATGTTTCTTTTACTCAGATCATATTCTGGGCCTTTGGTTAAAAGAGAAGAAATAAATGTCTGAGAAGGGAACTAATGTTCGGAGGAAAGTCCAAATGTCCAAGATCCAATTTACCAAGAAAAAACTTCTCTGAGACCCTCCTGTTGTCTTTGGGTCAAATCTGACTGATTCGCTACTTTCATCAATCATAACTTTTTTGTTTTACATTCGATTACATTAAGGCTTCATGAAATCCTTCACAGTAGACATTTGAACATATCACATTGCTGATCACCACTTTCATTGAATTTTGGATGATTTAGTCAACTGATGTGACCACCATAAAGAAAAGGAATTAGTAACCATCCGGATCAGATAAAACACACACACACACACACACACACACACACACACACACACACACACACACACACACACACACACACACACACACACACACACACACACACACACACACTCTCTCTCTCTAGATGTGTCGCCCCCTCTTATGTGCCCATCCCCCCACATGGATCACACCTGGCACACGCAATACATGTTCAGTGTCTGTTTTGATATTTAAATGACTTGTAAGAAAAAAGGACAAAAATAGTAAATAATTTCATTTAAAGGAACTTTTTTTTGTACATGTTATTAACATTAGGTTTTGGATGTTAAGATGTTGTCAGAATATCGGCCTCTTCTCCTGGCTCTGCAACGTATTTATTCATTTCACCAACAATGGCCCAAATACTCCGTAGTAGGAAACAGATGCGTTCCTGTTTTGTTGAATAAACGTACCATTACTGGAATCTGATTGGTTGAGATCCCGTGTTCAGAGGAGGCGGGGCCTCGGCTGCTCTCCTGGACTCTCTTACGCTTTCGTCGATTAGTCGAGGCTTCTGTTCCTGCTAAAGACACAAACACTTTGACTTTCCCATGCCTTTAAAGAGTTCTGCTTTTACTAACAAAAGAAACGACACCTACCTGTGTTACAAGGTTGGCTGCAGATTTCTGCAAAAGGTCTGCGTGAGAGGAAAGAGAAACAGCTTCTTTTTTTACAATGAAAAACAATTGGACCATGTTCATTATAGCTCAGACCTTAAATGATGCATGCTTTAAGTCTCTCGTCCATTCTTTCATCACAGCTTCAACGTCACAATATTGTTCCTTTTATTTACATCTGCTGCTGAGGTGGATTACTCTGTGACATCTCAGGCTGGATTGAAATGCAAAGCATAAACAAACCATAATGAGCTTAACTAGCAGGCGGCACAGAAACCCACGGTGAGGCGGTGACAGCGCTGAATGTGCAGAACTCACTGGAGCTGGCTCACGATGTTGAACGTTATTTTATCTGCAGCTTGAAGCACTTTCTCCAGGCACACGATGTCGTAGGTGTTGGGGTTCCTGAAGGGGATATCGTCTGGAAGGCCACTGATTTCTACCGACTCCGGACTGCCGCGGATCAGTTTGTACGGGACCACCACGGAGCGGTCCAATCCCAGAGCCTCGCCTGAACACAGCACATGATCAAAAACACATTTGGTTTTTTAAACCGGCTCCAGAGGACAAAAGGGCTGCTTGTCTCAAAGCTCCACAAGATACAGATACAAGTATATGCAAATCAAACAAAACAGCAAGAACACCATGTCCTTCGCTTTGCTCCTGCCTAAAGACTCATACTGCTTTAATGGAGAGACTAACTTCTTCTATTTTCTGTATCTATAATTAGACATCTTATGCATCTTCTGACCTTTAAAAATGTGTTATGCTACAAGAGGCTGTGCCTTCAGCATTTACTCCTTTATCTACCTTCAATTTTGTCCTTTACTATTTGTATTTATTTGTATGTTTTGAGTATATTATGTGTTGCATTGTTAGAGGAGCGGACTTCGGGTGGCAGTATCATGGATGTATAATAAGAACTGGATACAGCGTGGGAGGCGGGGTCTCGTTCTTTCCTATGAGAGCTGCTCATTGGCGCAGGAAGACAAAATGGCCCAACTTTTGAGAGAGTGAAACGTCACAGATTACCCAGCATGCCTGGCTGTCGGAGCAGAAGAACCCAATATGGTCTAGCTGCGGCCGCGGACAGTACACAACACTACACTACACGACACGCCCACCTGACACGATACTACGGTGACTGAGAAGGGTCTAGCTGCGGCCGCGGACAGTGGAGGTTGAACCAAGCCCCCAGGAAGTGCGCCGGAGTCTGATGAGAATATTCGTTGTGGCCAAACGGCGGTACTACACTTCTTTAATGCGGACGTGGGCGTGGTTAAATCTAAACTGGGTTGGAATAACGATAGACGCGGCCCGGAAACACTTTTTCCCATTGACTTACATTGGGAAAGAGTGGTCTGTAACTCATTGGATAATTTTTTTTAAACTAAATAAACTACCCAGTATGAACCCTTCTCGAAGAACCCGTACGTGCGCTCACAGAGCATGTGCCCCTTAAGCCCCGCCCCCCGAGCTCCCACTCTCGGCTCAGTAGAATGAATGGAGAGAGAAAATAAATCGGCTTTTAGTGCATTTTACAACTTTAAGGACCGAATGATTATAATAAGGGCTATAAAATAGTTCATACTGGGTAGTTTATTTAGTTTTTTTTTAAAGTATCCGCTGATTTACAGACATCTCTTTCCCAATGTTAGTCAATGGGGAAAAGTCTTTCTGGGCCG